GCGGTGGATGGGGTGGCGGGGGATGGGGCGCAGGCCAAGCACAGCCTTAAGTTAATTATAAAAGAAGAAATCTCAAGTCCACGTGTACCGTGCTTTTTGTGACATAAATAAAGGAGTGTTAAGGCAAAATTAATAATAATAAAGTGCAGGGGAGACAGTACGTTGTTGTAATAATATATATAAATTATATATATGAATGCCACTTTTTATTAATTTAAAACTTTTGAGGGAGTGGATCCGGAAATCGGAATGTCCCTGTACTAAAAAAAAAATTATGTTTCTGTTTTGATGTTTCATTGTGGTTCGATGAAATGGTAATTTGGTGGATTATACTAATATTAATTATTAACTGCTTAGCAACTTTTTATCTTTAGATTAACATAATTAGTGATTGATATTAATATTAAATAAGTTGAGTAAAAGGCGCACCAAATTCTTTTTTTTCCGACACGATAGATATGTGTTTTTACGAAATGGTATTTGCACGAGAAAATTACTCAATCAGTTAATATTATCACAACAAATGGTGGAGCTAGAAAAATATATCGATAAACTCAAATCGTGATCTTATATATATAAATGTATCATTTTTGTTATAAAGCCAACGGTTGACTTGACTCAATTTGAGCCAATCTTATATGCAATAAGTAAATCATATCATATTAATAAAAATTAGTATTATGTAAGTAATCAAATAATATGATATTGTTTACTTATTTTTTTTTTTAGAAAGTTAGACTCCACTGTAGAGCCAGCGGCTAACTTCATAACAAAACTGATAAACATATATACACATATATATAGTTTTTTAACGGGAAGCGTATCATTTACCCATGAAGTGTATTATCGAAATTTTGTGGAAGAAAATATATATATATATATATATATATATAATTGCAGGCTATTCAGTTAATGTATATCATAAAAAATTTTACGTTCAGGCTATTCAGTTAATGTATATCATAAAAAATTTTACGTTCATTCTTTTTAATTAATGTGGATGAAAATTGTTACATTTTACATTAGTTATCTATATTAATATTTTAAAATCATTTTATTATATAATAGTTACTACTATTACTAACTAATTATAAATTTGCATCAAATTGTATGTGAAAGTTTCATACTTATCAAATATTATTGATTTTTTTTTAAGATATTTAATCTATAATAAGTACTTTTTTCATCTTATTGAGAGAATTTACTATAATATTAGTTAATTGATTTTAGTGGCATAATCAAACCCATTGAAATCACATAAACAACTGCTTTGCCAAATGTAAACATTACATTATCTATACTTATATAAAATGTCATTCTATTTAGTAAAATTAGCAGCAAGAAAATAGGTCAGCATTTAATGCAGTCCAAAAATAGTAGTTCTATTATTTTTCTTATGTTTTATTTAAAAGTCATATAATTTAATTTTATAAATATGCTTTAATGTAATCTTACAATTTAATCATATAATTTAATTTATAAAAATTATACAATTTAATTTTTTCTTTAAAAATACGCTTTAATATACATATATATAGTACTTTTGTAATAAATTTGAATAGAATGTGTTACTTAAATATCTAAACAGTTTAAAAATTAAATATTTAAGTTAATTGATAAACAATTTATAAATCTCTATTTTATTTAAACATGTAATTTCATTTAAAATAATTTTAAATATAGTCAAATTTATTTACAAAATCGTATCGATCCTACCAATTCAACCGACTGGTGTTGACGGATTCAATAGCAAATATTTTATTCAAGTGAACTAGACTGATTATAAATCGGTTCTCGGTCCATCCAGACGGACTGTGTCCAATACGGTTTAATTTAAAAATGATGGGTAAATCTTGATTAATTTATTTGTATATTTAATTTATAATATAATCGTAATATTGTTTTCCCGTGCATCGCACGGGCCACGCACTAGTTACATTTTATGTCATCAATAAAATGATTCATTTGTAAGTTAAATAATTTATATGTATTACTTATTTACTAATAATAAAAAGTTTAAAAATGTGATATACTTTCCATTATTTAATTTAAAATTTTAAATATTATATATATACATATAATAAAAAAAATTCCTATAGAATTATCAATTATGGCATGGGGCTAAAAATCTTACTCTAGTCCTCAATTTTTATATATATATATATATTTTTTTCCATTCAAAATTGTATTCTACCTTTTGACTATTTTCGTTTACCTCTCCTCATTTTCACAGCTAAACACTGAATGCTCGAGCGAACATGCGAGCAGCTACGAACCCTGCCTTCCTTATCCACCACCACACCTCCGTTGCCTCCGCCGTCCTCCGCTCGATTCGCCACCGTATCCCTCTATTCCCTCCGTCCTTCGTTAAAATCCGTGCTCAGTCCACTTCCACGTCCCACGCCGAGCTCGACAATACCAGAACCGGTCGATCTGGCTCGCTCGCTTCCCCTCCGGCGAATATCGATGCTGCGCAGAAGATTGACGTTAATCCACCCAAGGGAACCAGGGATTTCCCTCCTGAAGAAATGCGGCTGAGGAATTGGCTGTTTCAGAATTTTAGAGAGGTAAGTATTT